TGGTGGTTCAAACCCACCAACCACTCCTTGGAAGGGAGGTTGGGCAATCTACTTCCATAGTGATATCACCTCAGAAAACCAAGGAGGGGTCGCTATGAGTTGCATCCCGCTCAACGGCAGTGAGTTGTTTTTTTGTTTTTTTTTTTTAGTCATCATCCACCCTTCCATCCATCTATCCACCCATCCATCCTAGCAGTCCTTCAGTCCAATCACACATATTCATTCAATAATTATTGCACACATTTTAATTGAGTGCCTGTTATATTCCATGCAGTTGTAACAATTTTTAGATAAATTTAGGTTCATTGTTCCAGAACAATTATATGTATGTGTGTGTGCTTGTGTATATGTAAATGTATATTTATATATTTACATTGTTGTTGTTGTTGTTATGTGCTGTGGAGTCAGACCTGACTCATAGCGACCCCTTCTTGGGTTTCCAAGGCAGTATCACTATGGAAGTAGATTGCCTAACCTTCCTTCCAAGGAGTGGCTGGTGGGTTCGAACTGCCAGCCTTCTGGTTAGCAGTCAAGTGCCTTAGGCACTACGCTACCAGAGCTCCTATATATTTACATATATACAAAAAACATGTTGCCATAATTTCAATTCATGGCAACTTTATAGGACAAAGTAAAACAGCCTCATAGGGCTTCCAAGGCTGTCCTCTTTATGGAAGCAGGCTGCCACATCTTTCTCCCGTAGGGAGACTAGTATATTCATACCAGTGACCTTTTGGTTAGTAGCTGAGTGCTTAACCCTTGCATCACCAGGGCTCCTTATGCATAAATATACATCAATAATATATGTTATATATAGTCACACACACATATCTATAAATAAGGAATTATATATGTATTATTAAGTTACTATGTAGTTGTTGTTATTTGCCATTGAGTCGCCCCCGACTCATAGCGACCCCTCCTTGGGTTTCCGAGGCAGTATTACTATGGAAGTAGGATTACTATATATGTATGAAAAGAGCTCTGGTGGCTTAGTGGGTGAAGCATTTGACTGCTAACCAGATCAGCGGTTCAAACCCACCAGCTGCTCCCTGGGAGGAAGATGAGGCAATCTACTTCTATAAAGATTTATAGGCTTAGAAAGTCAATGCAGTCACTATGAGTCAGAATCAACTCAATGGAAGTGGGTAGTGAAGTAGTTAAGTGCTTGGCTGCTAACTGAGAAGTTGGTAGTCCACACCTACCAACCTCTCCATGGGAGCAAGATGAGGCAGTCTACTTCTGTGTAGATTACATCACTGGAAACCCTGTAGGGGCAGTTCTACTCTGCCCTGTAGGGTCTCTATGGGTTGGAATTGAATTGATGGCAATGGGTAAATGTATGCATGTGTGTGTGTGTAGGAACACACACCATTACATAAAAACTAAAATTTAAATAAGTTATAGTCAGTGTTCCACAGTAATAAAAGAGCAAAATGCCAAACAGCAAAGACACAGAAGCAGAAGATATCTTAAGGTGTGCTCTAAGTCTGTGAACCCTAAATGACTTATTTTTCCTTTGAGTTCATTTTAATCTTTCCAATTTTAAAAAAAGAAGCAGCAGAAGCAGAGTGATAAAAAATGAATGGTGTTTGAAAACATCTACATCTTCTCATCTACCACACAGAACTCACTGGCTGTAGTATCTTTAAATTTGCAGCTGGTGGTAGCATAGTGCCTAAAGCACTTGGCTGCTAACCAGAAGGCTGGCGGTTCATACCCATCAGCCACTCCTCGGAAGGAAGGTTGGACAATCTACTTCCATAGTGATACCACCTCGGAAACCCAAGAAGGGGTCACTATGAGTCGGGTCTGACTTGACAGTACATAACAACAACAACAACAGTTTCTGCTTAAGCATGTATGGTGTGGTCAGTTGTCTGACGATGGCCTATAAGTCGGTCTTGCTACTGGACAAAGTGCTTACCGTGACAATGGTGTAATGATTTGGGAAGGTTTTGGTTGGATAGGCAGGTCTCATGTATTTTGAATGAATTCCACATGTTTCTGCAACAAAGTAGAGTGAGAAATTAGCAAATCATTTCTTCTTCAGAAGTTTTATAGGAGAACTAAATGTCTGAACCTCGGAAGGAAGATTGGGCTATCTACTTCCATAGAGATAATTCCTCAGAAACCCAAGGAGGGGTCGTTATGAATAGAATTAACTCAACAGCAGTGAGTTTACACAAAAATTTCTCAGAGAAATAAAAAAAAATTAAAGAATGAATTGTAGATGAAAAGAGGTTGAAATGCTGACTCTGAAAGTTCACCATTCCAAGGAAAGTCAGCTAGGAGAGGAATGAGCTACATCAGGGGTCCACAGCCATTTCCTATAAAGGGCCACATAGTCAACCCTTTCAGCTATTCAGGCCCTATGTCTTTGTCACAGGTATTCAGCTCTGCCATTGTAATCAAAAGCAGTCAGACAACACCTAAGTAAATGAGTGTACCTGTGTTATAATAAAACTCTATTTATGGACACTGGAATTTGAATTTCATATAATTTTTCACAAAATTGTGACAAAATTTTTCACAAAATATTATTCTTAATTTATTTATTTTTTCCTAGCCATTTAAAAATATAAACAATTCTCAGCCAGCAGCCAACTGTACAAAAACAGATAATGGGTCAGATTTGACCCACTGGCCAGTTTGCTGACCCCTGAGGTAAATGCATCCTAAATGATACACTGCAAGCTTTGTTTGCTTTTGCTATTCCTTTCCTCCAATGCCATTAATGACAATGAAATTTCTGTATAACTCAGCAGATTTTTTTATTTTTTTAATGGAAACCACATAATACAATAAAAGTAAATTTTTAGTTTAAGTAATCAAAAAGGGCTTTGACTCACATACTTACATGGGCAAGCAGTAATGTTTACAAAACAATCTAACTTTACTGCTTATTACTTTCTGTACAGTTTCCATTTCATTAGTGAAGTTTCCTGTGATCTGATTTCCACAAAGCATGGCATTTATTTTGCTTTCATTGTTCTGCTAGTTTCCAATCTGTGCAATAACCCTGTTTAAGGAGGTCAAGATCACTGCAACACATTGTTATTTCCTCTGCAGCAGGAAAGTACAAGAATGTTTCCATACTGGAATCCTGTTGCTTCTAATTCTAAAGGAAAGCTTTACCCTTATAGATTCTATTTAGGTTAAAACATAAAGTAGAACTGTCTGTTGTCCAGAAAGTCACAAGCTCTGCTTCTGTAAACAGTGAATGTTTTCTCAGATAGGCACAGGGTTGGTGTCTTTTCCCCAGCTTCTAGCCTGGGATTTCCCAAGTGATCCAGGAACATCCTCCTTCAGAATCTTCTACAACCCCATATCAAGTCTACTCCTTAGGACTGTGGGGAATGAGAGGCAGGGGAGAGATAAGCTGGAAAATGTAAACTTTCAACAAGCACCCCAGGTGATTCCGGTGTAATTAAGTTTAAGAACTAACTGCTCTAGGACTTGACTCATAATTTAGGAGTAAAATAATCTGTTTTCTTTCTTTCTTTGCAGTACCACCAATAAATAAAACTTGCCCTCAACTGGAAGAGAAACATTGAGTATTATTAAGAAATCAAATGATATGAAAACAAAATGGAATCTATCTCCTTATATAATTGAAAGAATTTAAATGGGAGAAAAAGGTCACACAATGAGCCAAGATATAGAAGCTAATTTCTGTTTCTACTTCCTTAAAAAATGAATGACAAATTCAAATTCTTAAATGCCTAAAGCCACAGGATATAAATTGATATGCAAACTAAGCTGTCAGTATTGTGCAAACTTGACTCCTCCCTAATTACAATGGCTTAAACAGGGTATACTCCTGACTTCTACAAACTAGGGCTACAATTTTGGATCACCTGCCTTTGAACCAGAGCTCCTGGCGTACAGCATTTAGAAATTGAAGTCTTCTTCTGGGTCTTATAATCTAAATTATGACTGAAGAGATTGTTATTGGACAGATACAATAAATTGGTAACAGTAGTTGTTTCTGCTCTGGTAGCACAATGCTTAGGCACTTGACTGCAAACCAGAGGCTGGTGGTTCAAATCCACCAGCCACTCCTTGAAAGGAAGGTTGGACAATCTACTTCCGTAGTGATACTGCCTCAGAAACCCAAGGAGGGGTCGCTGTGAGTCGGGTCCAACTTGACGGCACACAACTACAACAACAGTTGCTTCTGCAGAAAAAACTTGAAAAATCAGGAAAGAGGTTTTGTTTTTCCCTATATACCCTTTGGTTTTAGTTTTTGTATACCCTTTAGTATTATTAAAAAAAAATTTTTATAGTGTTCATATTTTACTTTAAACACACACACATTTTTTAAAGGAAAACATCAACCCAATAAAAATCTGAATATGTAAATGTATAAACATATATCCATATTCACTGCCATCAAGTCAATTTCAACTCACAGCCACCCTATAGGACAGAGTAGAGCTACTCCATAGGGTTTCTAAGACTTTAAATCTTTATGGAACCAGACTGCCTCAACTTTATCCATGGAGTGGCTGGTGGGTTTCAATTGCCAGCCTTTTGGTTACCAGCTGAATGCCTTAACCACTATACCATCAGAGCTCCTTCATATTATCTATGTTGTTGTTGTTGTTGTGTGCTGTTGAGTTGGACCTGACTCATAGCGACCCCTCCTTGGGTTTCTGAGGCAGTATCACTACGGAAGTAGATTTATAAGAAGAGGTGGAGGACTAAATGGATCAGTAGCTGAGCAGCTGAAGAACATACAGATCAAAACTATAATAAAGTCTTTAGCAAATTCTCATGAATGGCATATTGAAAAGCTAATAATTATGGATTCATTCCTACAAATTGAAAACATGGCAAACTGCTCAGCAATATTCATAGGCTCAAAATAGCCACTTTAAGATTTTCTATGTAATTTAGTAGAATAGCCTCCTGGAAAGCCTAACCACACAGTTGGCCTGTTCCATGTCCTGCAATCAAGGAAATCGAGAACAATCAGCTATGCAAGGGCTCCGGTTGTCCCAGTAATTGCAAGCATACACTTGAACCCTTGATACATAGAGAAAAAAGGATGGAAGAGGGCAAACAGCAAATGGCATCTGCATAGGGAATCCCAGGGTCCTACTGTGCAATATTGCCACCTTGCTAACTCTAACCTTCAAAACTCTGCATATCTTGCCTGTCTGGAAATTATCTTGCTGCCTGCTCCTTCTAGTTTTATTTGATCCCATTTCCTACCTAACTTTCAAGGAAGCTTGACATCCTGTCCAGGCTGAATCATTTCTATTCCCTTTGACAGTTTCCTCATTTTACTCTGGCCCTTCCTTGTCCATTGTCACCGACATTGAGGTAAAACAATACTAGGGCATGTCTAAGAGCCAAATCCTCATCCATTTAGTCATCATGGACATGAATCACTGCCCCGTGGTACATGTTCATTCCCAGTGTCCACAACCACTTTAGCTACCCAGGCAGCTTGATGGGACCTTAGACATGGGGCCTGAGACTTCCTTAATAGTGATGCTTACTGTCTCACACCTCACCTCAAAGTAAGGTGAGGCCTAATCCTAGCATTTTTCTAGGTCTATTTTAATTGGGCATCTTAAAACCAAATGACCGCATTTTGCCTTGTTCCACCTAATCAGTGATGTCTTTACATATTGGAGTATTGAGATGCTGTCTAAATGATTGAAGAGCATTTTAAAGCTTAGGAAAAGGAAAGCATTCAGGATCCAATATTTCAAGGTGTCATGTCCAATTCTCAATGGGATGTGCAAAACAAGTATTTCTCTTTCAAAAGAGGCTCAATTGAGCCTGCATAAAGTCCCTTTCGGACACAAAATTTAACATGCAGATGACTAAGAGAAATGCATATGAGGAAATAGAAACTGAGAGGTGTTGGTTAACTTTCCAGGCCAAAGTATCTCAGTAATAATTGACAAGTCCTGGATTTGGAACCAATTCTGGCAGAGCTCAAAACTCTTCATCTCTTTGCTAAAGATCTGTCTCAGGCTTGAGAAAGAGAAGCTGAAAAGATAGGGTATTTGTGTTTCAGACGGAATTATTTTTCTGACTTTCTGGAATCAAGGAATTTTAGAGCTGAGATTTGTTGTTGTTGTTGTTATGTGCCATCGAGTCAGACCCGACTCATAGCGACCCCTCCTTGGGTTGCCGAGGCAGTATCACTACGGAAGTAGATTGCCCCATCTTCCTTCCGAGGAGTGGCTGGTGGGTTTGAACCGCCAGCCTTCTGGTTAGCAGTCAAGTGCCTTAACCACTACACTACCAGAGCTCAGATTAGCAATAGAAATTATGAGATCCAGCCACTTTATTTTACAAATCAGGAAAGTGAGGCCCAGAAAAATCAATTGACTTACTCAGGCTCAGCTACTTTTTTGTATTTTGGAGAAAAATGAAACCAGGAACAGAGTACAATTGTCTTGAAGTTTGAGAACCTTGTATGTAGAAGAGGACTTGAAAGAACAAGAAAGAAAGAAACCCCAGGGCAGAGAAGTACGTGGGCCCTAGATCCAGCCCTTTGATTCTAATCACACAGTGCCACATTTGATCTCTGTGTTCTTGGGTATTCAGCTTCTCTTTATTATTATGAATACTTTCAAATTCTATGGAGCCCAAGTACCCTAATACAGAAGTACAACATGATGATGATGATGATAATGAAAACAATAATTATAGTAATAACCTAAAATCATCTGATATGTACTACATACACATTCTCACATTAATTAAAAAAAAAACAAAAACTCATTGCCGTCAAATGGATTCGACTCATAGCAACCCCTCCTTGGGTTTGTGAGGCAATAACTCTACAGAAATAGATTTCCCAATCTTCCTTCCAAGGAGTGGCTGATGGGTTTGAACCGCCAGCCTTCTGGTTAGCAGTCAGATGCCTTAGGCACTATGCCAAATTATCATGACCATTTTACAGATGAAGAAATTGACACACCAAAGGTGAGGTAAACTTGGCCAAGGTCTTCCAGCTAGTAAGTGCTGGAGTCAGGTCTTGGGTAGTTTGATTCCAGAAGCAGAAATTAATCTTGCACCTCTCACCTATGGAAGCTTTGGTATTTGCTGGATTTGGTCATCTACCCAGACTCCCTTAGGATCTTGTCCTTTTTAATCACATCTGTTTTGTTGAGACCCAGAACGTAGTTCTGACAGATGTCACTTTTGAGCCAATATATATGAAAAGATTTCCACCAGACAAAAGTTATGTTCAAATACAAGTCATAACAAACAAAGAAATGAACATGTTATCAAAAAAGGAAGGAGGAGCCAATAAGTATTAAAATATACTCCATACTGAATAGAAATATGTAACAAAAGCACCAGGGCCTCCAGAACTAAAGTTAGAGATCAGAAAGAAAGGTGCATGATCTAGAAATTGATTAACTGGGTGTTGGTTTTTATTTGCATGCTACTAATTGTAGAAGACTTACTCAGTTTATTAATATTAGGCATTAATGTATGCCATGTTTGTAAATACTCAGCTCTAAAGCCATCCATGGAAAATAAGATAACTGGTGGCAGGTCAAACCTGAAAACGGAAAACAAAAATTAATCCATTATATTGTTTATAAAAAACAATAAATACACTTTTTTGTACTATTTACAATTAGAGAAAATGCTTAGAAAATATAGTAACTAAATAGTACTGGCAATGGTTTTTCAGCATTATTTACAATAGTTAAAATAGTAGAGGCAACTCAAATGACCATCAACAATGACTGGACAAACAAATGGTATATAGATAGATATAGATAGATAGATATAAGCAAGTGGTATATACATACAATAAAATATTGTTCAATCATAAAGAAAAATGAAGTTCTGATATATACTTCAACATGGAGGAATCCTGAAAACACTGTGCTAAGTGAAATAAGTCCATCACAAAAGGAAAAAAAAATATTATATGATCCCATTGACACAAAATATTCAGAATAGGCAAATATATAGAGACAATAGTTATTAGTTAACCATCCAGAGGCTAGAGGAAGGGAGGAATGGTGAGATATTGTTAAGGAGTACTAAATTTCTATTGGTGATGATGAATATGTTTTGGAAATAGACAGTGGTGATAGTAGCACACATAGTGAATGTAATTAACTCTCACTGAATTATATACTTGGAAATGATTGAAATGGCAAATTTTTTACAATAAAATTTAAAAAATGAATGAGTTAGCTAGAGAGAGATGGTGATATAATTCAGTTATAATTAAGTGTGGGGTCACCCATGATTCTGTATCTCAACTGAACCCTATTAATGCAGCAGGTAGTAAAACTGTGCCTAGAAAAAGAAAGGAAGGAAGAAAGAAAATACTCTAAATAGTACCAGGTTAAGTTTTTCTTCCCTTTTTAAAAGATGATTTCCCCTTTAACATTTAATACTTCTAGTGTGTAGGTTATCTCTAATTAAAATATGTTGTTGTTGTTGTTATGTGCCGTGGAGTTGGACCCGACTCATAGCGACACCTCCTTGGGTTTCTGAGGTGGTATCACTACGGAAGTAGATTGCCCAACCTTCCTTCTGAGGAGTAATTAAAATATACAATGTTAAAAATACATAAGTGCTAACAAATGACCTGGGTTTTTCAACTTTGAGTTCTACCACCCTTTGAGTTCTAGGGTTTAAATGATTAACTAAATTTCTTTATTCTCATTTACTCCTTGGCCTCAGCTGTCTATGACCAGTAGGTGTGTCACATGTGAAATTGCTTTAGCCCTAAGGATAAAGCTGTGTGCTGTTAAGAAAAAGGAAAGACTGACCTCAGATGACTTAAGTCCAATTCTCAGCTATATTGTTGTTGTTGTTATGCGCTGTTTACTAGTTATTGAATCCTAGTCAGGTACTCAGCCTCTCAAAACTTCAGTCCTAATCTATTCACCTAGTATTTTGAAGTTATTACAACATAGCACAATAGTATCATCACTTTACCTCAAATATAATTTGTATTTTGCAGTCATAGAAAATACCAAACCAAACTTGTTACTGTTGAGTTGATTCCAACTTTTGGTAACCCCACATGTCACACTTGTTACACAGTTCTACACAGAGTAGAACTGCTCCATCAGATTTTCTTGTTTGTAACCTTAATGGAAGCAGATCCCCAAGCCCTTCTTCAGTGGTACTTCTGGGTAGGTTTGAACCACCAACCTTTAAGTTAGCATTGGGTGCAAACCACCTGTGCTACCTAGGAACCTCATCCAACCCACTGTCATCAAGTTGATTCCAACTGATAGAGACCATGTTAGGACACAGTAGAACTGCCCTATGGAATTTCCAGGGCCGTAAATCTTTACAGAAGCAGCCTCCTTCATCTCCTACAGACCAAACCAACCTTTTGGTTAGCAGATGAATTCTTTAACCACCACAGCACCAGAGCTCTTCAGGAACTTCACAGTAGGTATATGAGGAGCTAATTAATTGTTCTTTTACAACAGAGGTCAGTGGCATGTGAACAAAGCATTAACAAAAGATCAACAGACATCAGATTCTACATCCAAGGCCTTTTACAACCCTGGCTTTGGCTAAGAAACTTGAATTTAGTAATCACCGCATTTGACTTCATACCAAATGAAGTGATTACCAAATTCAAGGCTGAAACTAAAATTACAAAAGTTTCAATCATTCCATTCTACCACCTTTTGGAAATAATTATGATACGGAATTTAACAACTATAGTTTATGAGATGTTTTCATATTATAAACTTTGACATATCGAATGAATTAATTTTTTTGACTTTTTATTCTGGTACTCAGGATATTAGTACCAACCTTAGATGCATTACAATCTCTTTATAGACCAATATTGAAGTTAAAATGATGGAAGTAGTTTTGGGGCTATAGCCAGAGAGAGTGTTAATTTGTTTTGTTTTGTTGTTTGTTTTTCACTATCTTCAGGGTATTTTTTGACTTTTTAATTTTTGTTAGCTTTATAATAGATATACAAAACAGTGTACATTTCACAGATACATAGTTTGATGAATTTTTGCTAACTGAACACCACTGTGTTGCATCACCCAGATCAAGAAATAGAATATGGCCAGCACCCAGGAGTCTCCACTGGTGCTTCCTTCCAGTCACTTAAGTCTGCAAATGGCACCCTCATCCCATTAATCAAAAACACTATCCTGACTTCTAACAGCACACATTAGTTTTTCCTATTTTTATGCTTATATTTCGATACAAATGGAACATACAATATGTATTCCTTTGTGTGTGGGTTCTTTCATTCAACATTTTTTAGGAGATTTCATCTAAATTGTTGCATCTAGCTGTGCTTATTCTCTTAACTGCCTGGTATTCCAGGGAATTAGTAAACTATACTTTATTCATTCTTCTTTTCATGGGCATTTGGGTACTTGTATGTAGGTTAAAGGTTATTATGAAGAGTAACTATAAGCACATTGAATTTATTTTAAATTCCAAACAGGGTGCATGCAAGTGAGTATATAAATCATTTTCAACTCCATGCTCAAACAATTTCACATCTGGATTTTTTGCCCCAAAACATACCAATCTAAGAAATTTGGCTAGAACAAGTCATCAACAATTCCACCACATTACCCAATATGATTATAAGGAAATTTTTGAATGTTGATGTCAGCTAAAAATAAGAAAATAAATTCAATTCTTTTTTTTTTTTTACAGTGTTTGATTTAGAAAAAATAACTGTGCCATCTAATTACAACCTATAAAAATGTGACAAAAGTCTAGAGAACAAGTCTGTTGGGATTCCCAGAAGCATTTATTATATATTACAGGCATAAAATGAATATTGCAATAAAGAATCACATTAATTTTGTGGTTTCCCAGTGCATATAAATGTATTTATACAATACTATAGTCCATTAAAGGAGCTGTAGTGGCATAGTGGGTAAGGCATTTGGCTGCTAACCAGAAGGTCGGCAGTTCAAACCTACCAGCTGCTCCACTGAAGAAAGATGAGGCAATCTACTTCCATAAAGATTTACAGCCTTGGAAACTCAAGGGATTGCTATGAGTTGGAATCCACTTGATGGCAGTGGGTTTTGTATAGAGTTTTGGTAGTCTATTAAGTGTGCAATAGCATTATGAAAATGTTGAGAGAATTACCAAAATGTGACAGAGAGAGACGAAGTGAGCACATTCTATGGGAAAAATGGCTCCAATAGATTTGTTCCATGTAAGGTTGTCACAAACCTTCAATTTGTAAAAAGCTCACTATCTGTGAAGTGCGGTAAAGTGAAGCACAATCAAACAAGGTATGCCTGTAATTCATTTAACAAATATTTGAGTCAGGTATTGTGCTAGAACTGAGAACAAAGATATGAAGAAGTTAGAGCCACTATGAGGAAGGAAATTAAGAAGTAAACAAGAGTTGTTCAGGACTAAGTTTGAGTATAGGGCTCTGTTCAAGTATACAGGAGAACACAGCAGCCTGTCTGGGGGATGTGACATGCAAATAGTGCTCTTTAGAACAAATAGAAACAATATTAAAGGAGCACTGGATTAATGTTTCAACCAAGGGAAATACCCGGAGCAGAAGCCTCTGTGTTTACATACAGGAATATTTATGAATTCAAAACATTGGGTTCAGCAGAAGAGGCTAAACACAAGAGAACATATGATATGATTCCATTTATGTGAGATTCTAGAACAAGAATTCATGGAGATAGAAATCAGCCTTGTGAGTGCCTCTGGTGGTGGGTGGAAAAGACATGAGGTATCTTTCTAAGGTGATGTAAATATGCTGTATTTTTATAGTGGTGTGGGTTACACATGTGTATGCATTTCTAAATCACATCAAAATGTACACTTAAAATATGTGTGTGTCAAGTTCAACAAGACAGAAAATAACAAATGCTGGCAAGGTTGTGGAGAGATTGGGACTCTCATACACTGCTGGTGGGACTGTAAAATGGTACAACCATTGTGGAAAGCAGTATGGCG